TCCTGAATTCCCCTCTTGGTGAGGATATACCTAGGAAGTGTAGCAAGGAAGCAGTGCAAAGTCTTTTGGAGTGGGAACAAGTGGGGCAGCCAGGCTGGCTCTTCTAAAGTCTCACCTGAGCAAGGTCAGTCTGCAGCCAGAGTACAGAGGGCCAACACTGGTGTTCTTGAACATGGAACCAAGCTGTGGAGGAGGGAGAGGGAGGTGAATAGCAGGGCTAAGGTGTGTATGTGTTAGGGGCAGATGTGAGGTGGGCACAGCAGGCACCAATGAGCAGGGCTGGTCTCCGTGGGCAGGGCTTGCATCTCTCAGAGGCAGGAGTGAGGTTCGTACTATCTTCTTTCATCACCTTGTCATCTATGATGTAGAAGGGACTGGATATCTGGGGCTAGTCAGAGTGAGGAGGGCAGGGCACTAACCAGACTCTGCAGGACTCTTTCCGTGGTGTTGAACTTCCTGGAGCCAGGGTGATGCATGTCCTCCTCATACTTCAGGTTGGTGATGGTGAAGTTGAGGGTGAATGGCACCAGGAGAGGGCCAGCAGCTGTAGTAGGAATTGAAAATAAATACTGTGTTTAAAGTAGAGAAAATAGGGGTTTGGAATAGACTTATCTTTAAACATATGCAAAATTTAAATTGAGAGAAAAATATTTACCACGTCTCCCTTGCCTATAATAATACAATTTATTTTTATAAAAGTATATTATATAGTAGTAGTTAGATGTTGAGCCTAGCTAGTTGTGCATATTCAGTGCTCAATATTGTCTGATGCTATCTGTTATCTTTATTACGGCCGTCACCAATTTTGCTATCATTGTCACCATCACCATTATTATTATCATCATTACCATGATCATCCCCATCATGACCACCACAAACATAATCATCAGCACACTCAACACATCATCATTATCATCATAACCACATGACCATCACTGGCATCATCCTCATCATCATCATTGTTATTGTCATCAGCATCACCACTAACAACATCAACATCATCAGTACCATGGTCACCATCATAAACAGCACCATCATCATCATCATCATCGTCATCATCATCACACTCAGCACATCATTACCATCACAACCTTCACAACCATCACTGACAACATCCTTATGTCCATCATCATCAATGCCAATAACTTCACCACCACCATCATCAACAACAATGCCATAATCATAAATCATCATCACACTCAATATGTCGTTATTACTGTTACCACCACTACCACCATCATCGTCACATGAACACAAGCTCACTGAGGGCAGAGATGTTTTTATTGCTTTTGTTTTCCTTGCTATATCCCTAGGGTCTGGTACACTGTAGGTGGCTAATAAATATTTTTGGTTCACTCAGTATCACTAGATTTATTATTATTTTCCATCTTCATTTGATTGAAAATGGCAGAGATGTTTACATTCATCAGGCATGATCTAATACAGATACCATTGGCTGTTACTTACTTGTGGGGCTGGGGACGGAGGATGGAGTCCCTGAGGTCCCAAGGTCCACTGTGGAGGTCCCAGGAGCTGAGAAAAAGTCCTCATCAGTGAAAGCAGAGACCACTCTCATGGCAGAAATGACAAGAAGGTAGACAATTGTGAGGTCTGCTGCATTTGGTCTTGACCTGGGTCTGTCTTTGGAGCTGGGGCAAAAGGGAGCTTGAGTAACTTCTGCCTTCCCAGCTCATTTGCTCAAGAGGAGGAGTTATGGGCTTAAGAGGAGGGGCCAGTTCCTGCTCCACTTGATATAGGATCAGGGGCATCTGGACATGAGTTGAATACTCACTGCTGGTGGTGGGCACAGAGGTCCGATAGGTGAAACCTGCATAGAGAAGTAGGGAGGAGATGGCTAAGGGTTAAGGAGATGTGGGGGATGCAATGGAGTTCAGGACTATCCTGGTGCAATTAAAGGAGTTTCATGGGAGAGGGGTCATTAAAGATTTCCTATCAGCATCATCACAACAGGGAAGAGTGCCCAGAGGGAATGCCTCTCACGATAACGAAGAAACCATGAAGTCCAGAACTTAGTCATCCCATGTAGAGCATATGACAGAATTTTCAATGGCCAGGCAGGGAGTGTACTCCCAAGCCAGAGATTAGAGGTTGCACATCAAGGAGGAAGAGACTCCTAGCATACCACAGCTGCTCACCATTGACATAGAGGCTGTTCCTGTCCAGGGTGTAGGGCCCCAGCTCTTTGATGCCATGGGTCAAGTGGCTCAGTTCCCAGTACAGCTGCTCCCTGTCCACTCCAGGGCTTCTGGGGTCAAGACGGTGGGTGCAGAGGGCATCCACTCCAGTGGCTGCTCCATCCTTCTCGGACCTGGGGAAGGTAGGAGGGGGAATGACAATGAAAAGAGTACCAGGACTTGTCTTGAGATTGCTGAGGGAAACATGTCAAGGAACCAGAGGAAATGAGAAACCTGGGAAAGAGGTGAGAAGCCACACTTAGATTATCTGAGTACACAGACCA